TTGCAGTAATATGAAAAAGTAAAGAAAACTGTTTCTACTACATAAAATATCTAAACAGGTGAATCAAAGGACTTCAATATCTCCAAAGTTTTGTGAACTCGTAAATGCACCCTACTATGTTGATAATACAGGACCTTGGGTGGGTGTTGGAACTGTAATAAAATAACTGAAGTAAGGCACTTTTTGCTTTCGCCAGGCAATCTAAAACAATAGTATACTCAGGTAACTGAAATTATTTTATACCTACAATCTGTCAGTGGTAGTAGGCTACCAAATTTCAATTCTGTCAAGTAAAAGAGAGGTCTTACTGATGAGAAATGCAGCTGCCGATTGAAAAACTACATGATCGACTGACTTCACCATGAATCATACACCACTCAGTGGTGAAGTGCAGCTATTACACACCAACTGAGGAGGCACACGTGCAAAAATGTATACTCACCTCGTATACTTCAGATCTCATCTGTGGAATGGCAAAGAGGTAGAGGATCAAGTAATCATGTCAGTCTGTGAGCACAGGTATTCCAACTTGTGTGCAGGCTTTGACAGCACAACAGAGATGCACGCATTTTTGGTAGGCACATTTGGGCATCTTGTTTTTAATCTATGTTCACAGGAAGTGGATTATCAGTATTTACAAAACTATGATGAAAATTTAAAAGACAAACTTTTTACTAAGGCCATGGTTTTTGAGTGTTGATGGACCTTCCAATCTTAAGTTACACAGCCAAACCAATTAACATCACTAGTTGCTTTGGAAAAAAATCATCTTATTTGTTTAGTCTGATATTGATGTGATTTTTCTTATATTTTGTTTCACATATTAGGTATTTTTTGAGCAACAAAGTACTGGGGTGTTATAAAATGTACAAAACTGAAAATAGTCTTTTGATTACCCGTAAAAGTTCTTGAGGGCCAGATCTACTTAGACATTATAATGCCTAATAAATAAACACTTTGCCTGAGGAGGACAATCCAAACTGACAGGATTGTGTGCCTTGGCTCTCTGTAGTTAGTGTATGTCATATAAAACATAGGCATTTATGGGGCAAAGATGTGGAGCAAAACCCTGACCATAATGAAGTCAATGGGAATTTTGTCACGCTCTTCAATTGAGTCAGTATTTTTCATCTAATTTATTAAGTCTAAACTGATAACAAGACCTTCTTAAAAAGACATCAGCGCGACAGGCCAAAGGTGTCCAGGTGCACTTGAAACCAAAGCTTTGTTTATTCTTACAGGAGTTTTGTAACCCCTTTATCTGAAATATGTAAGAAATGGGATTTTGGAAGGATCCTATTAGTTGTGATTAGTGTATCAAAGAAGACAAAGGCGATTTTGCCACTACCTAGGGAAGGGAATTTGATATTATTTCAGAGATATAACATTCTATTGCTCCCATACGTTATTTGTGCAGGCATTAAGTGCAGAAAATTATTTCTTGTACAAGATTTGACAAAAATAGCAGGCAAGGGTGTTTTAATGTTTTATTTCCTTCCTGTTCCTAACGAAATAGAGGTATTAAAAGACATTTTTATAGTCTCAGGAGTTAAATGTATACACATTCTCCTTTATCTGAAATATCGCCTGCCTTGAACAAAGATAATAGGATGTTGGTTTTGCTTTTAATGTGAAAGGCTTTGACCTTTATTTTTTGGGGTGGGGGGGAGGGGGTTAATGGTGCAGTTGCACTCCCCCTTTATTTCTGCTCCATCCAAGTTTTAAAACCAACTCCCGGGCAATGGCAGGGGAAGTAGTAGTGGCATTTATGTTCAGGAAGTGCCAAAGCAGTCAATTGACTTCATAGCTCATTATAATTTACCTGATTCCTGCTATGATCTCTTCAGTCCACAGATGTGAATAACCCTTTCTTTTTATTAATGCTCCTTTTGTTCCACAAATCAAGCTATCCTTTCTTCTGGAATTTTTCTCCTGGTCTCTCTTTTCCTATTTTACAACTCTGAAGGCTGTTTTTAACTCTAGATGAAAAACATTAACCCAGATGACTATTAACTCAAGTGTGGAATAACTGTTAATGAAATGTTGAAAACACACTGAATAAGTTCAAGAAGGATACATTTTGTTTTGTGAACCTGAATAAGAGATTTGCATTTTATTCTTATGGCTACAGGACTAATGAAACAACAACTTTTGATTAGTTTGTCTAGTTTGTTGTCTATTTAATACTGTATTTACTCAATTCTAAGGCAAGGTCCCCCTTCCCCCCATTTAACACAGGGGGAAAAAGGCCCTCCTCTTAGAATCAAGTATGGGGCATGGCGGGGGATGGGCAGGTAACTTCTGTGGCTTGGGCTCCAGCTCCTGCCTAGAGTTGGGGCCACAGCTGCAGCTACTGCCTGCCACCACTTCCCTGCCACCACTGCACCCCACCATTGCCTTCCTGCAGCCTCTTCCCCATGCCTCCCCACACAGTTTCTGCACTTCTGCCTGAGCACCCCCACCCCAATTACCCTTGCTCTGCACTGACAGCCTCCATCTATGCTGTAGCCTGAGGCACTGATCATGGCCCCAGCCCGGCCCTATAATAGTGGTGTGCAGCCCACACAGCTGCTATGGGGGCTGGGCTGGGGCCATGCTCAGTGCCCCAAGTTAGAATGGGGACAGAGCCTGCTGGCTTGGAGCAAGGGTAAGGGGTGGGGAAGTCATATAATAAATAATTAAATTCAATATGTCGAAAATTATAACAAATTGCAGGTTATCTTAAATTCAGGGTCATCTTAGATTTGAATAAATACAGTATCTAATATAGAAAACGAATGCACATTCAAATAAAAGTATATTCATTTTTGCTTCGATATTAAACTGAATAAAAGACCCAATGCCCTTAACATATTATTACACCTTCTAATTTCTTTCTAATTAGATAAAAATATGCACTGCATTATATGTGATGATATACTACCCCATCTGCACCCTATTCCCCTGTTTTTCAAAATCCTAGCATGTGAAACTTTGGTGGGGAAATTCCTTTTGCTTTTTTTTTTTTTATGTGTTGCCTTAGCTGATTTTTCTTGTTTGTCTAAGTTAGAGAAATCTTTGTCCTAACCCAATGCCCACTGAATCAGTGGAAGAATTTCAATGGGCATTTGATAAACCATTAATCAAAAAAGTGTAAGAAAATAAAGACTGACTATTCAAAAATGGAAATTCTAGTAGAAATTAGCCTTGAAGACTTGAAGTGCTTTCAAAATGACCATGTATGTATTACTGGAAATCCTTTCTTACTAGAGAAATCTGGTAAAAATTTTACTTGAATTCCTTGACTGACAAAGTTCAGGTAAACTGCTTAGTCTCCAGAGTGATAGAAAAATCAAGATCCACGTACTTGATGGGAATGAGGTCTTTGCTACTAAACGATGCACTAAATGGGAAATATTTTCATGTTCTTACCCAGTGAAGGTTTTTAAATGTCTGTTTAATGGGATTGTGGAACACTGTAAATATTTGGTATATCTAAAATGTGGTAAATTGTAAAAGGTTAGGTATGTGATTAACATTTGGAGTAAAAAAATCTAGCCCACAATTCCTACAACTGTTAAAGAACAGACTTCATCTTAAAGCAGAGGTAAATAGCAATCCATTAGTTACCCTAAGGTAGCCAAAAGCCCAAGAGGCCTGCAAGCCAGCAATTCCACCAATGGAAGAAGCTAAGGCAATCAGATACAGAAACAAATTAAAGAGGAAGCTAACCAAGTGTCCATAATAGAGGCTATTTTTTATTTATTAGCAAAATCAAAGTAGTTCTAAAACTCCACTAAACTTTTCTAACAACGAAAATTTCCCACTTAAATAAAACCAACTTATTCAGTTTTAAGATATGCTGAATACTCCTCCTTGGGGTGTCAAACTTCGAAAGAAGTGTAGGTAAGCCTGGTGCTGTTTGCAGTATGGGTCAAAAATAAGAAAGAGCGATTCTCAGCATGCTCATCTATTACTACATTACAATGAGGTGGGGAAGCCCTTGAGAGGCCCCAAAGGCATCTTTATTGTCATGACATCCTGTGTCTACCACCAAGAAGAAGTCTTGCCAGACTGCAGAAATGCAGGCAGATTAAAAGAGACTGGAACTGTTTAAACTTTAATTCAGCTATCTAAGGTATTTACTGCTCCAAGCCAAACTGAGAGTTATAGGGATTGCGATTAAATTCTGAATGCAGATTCAAGCCTCAACTCAGTGAAGCTGATGGAAAGCAACTGGATTCCTAGATAAGCCTGTGTCTCATGGCAGCTGAGCTTTGTTCTATAATCAGAAGCTTATGAGATGACAGGCTTTCTCTTAAAGAGAATGAAATCAAGGGGGAATTTCTGTTGTCTAACCAGCATGTATCAGGGTTATACACTGCAAATGATAACATTTTATATCCCTTGTTTTTGTTGGATCAAGAAGATACATTAAACACTCTGTTAAAGGGGACAAGATCATAGAGCAGGTGAGTCATCTGATTTGCCAGGATGGACTCTGGTCCATCATGGCTAGTTCACTGATGAGTGGAAACAGCATTTAGGTGCTCTTGATTCTATTCTTGGCCAGAACTAAAAGCCTTCTGTCAGGTGAGGAAAAGTGTTAAATTGTATAAGCTATTCTGATTTTTCAGGGGGTTGTTGTATCAAGGAAATCTGAGAGCTAGAAAGCTAGGATACCTGGGCTTGCTTGCAATGAGACACATCCATAGAAGACTGGATCTCTCTTCCACAGGGGAAAATCCCAGTACTGACTATCCTTGTTTACATAAATTGTAAAATTACTTATCTATAATCCCACATGTGGCTTTGTTGTTTTGTCTGTGTTCTGTTTATAAAAATCCTAATATGTTGTTCCTGTGCCAGCGCTCATGAGGGCACAGGTATTATGTAAGATATGCTGTGGAATTCACAGGTCACGGTGAGCTGACAGATAGTGGACTCTGGTTTGAGACCAGGTCTTGAGTTCAACAAGAAAATGTTGAAGACTTAGTCCAAGAGACTTGTTTCCCCTGCAGATAATGAGAGAAGCGATTGTGCAGGAGGAGACTGAGCTGGGCTTAACTGCTGGTACTGACACAAAGCTAACTTCTGAGCAAGGCTCATCTGGAACAGCAGTGGCACGCAGAACTGTCGACACGATGGCAGACCTCTGAACTGTCTACACTTTGGTACTGATGGCAGTGCCAGAGTGGACCTCACAGTACTGGATCATGTTCAAGTGGATCATGTTCGGCAGGTACAAACATCAGTAAAAGTAGACCAATGAAGGAGAGCCACTCCCCAACTTTGACTAAAACGTATTTAAATGGTGAGTAGGACTGTGAATGGGTATAGGCAGCTTTGTGTCTAGGAGCTCTGAATCTCTACTGTAGTGGAAGCATGGAGTCACCCATACTCTTGATGCATTAGGTTCCCTTGTTGTGTGTCTATACCCATACATATAGTTCTTTTTTAGGGAGGTGGGGTGGTCTCTTCCAATTTCCTCAAATAATAAATTTTGGTGGCTTCATGTGTGGCACTGGGGAAGAAACACAGAGAAATAAGGCCAGTGACAGAAGTAGTGATCTATTCATAGTTCTGGGTCAGGGTTTGTCTACTGAACTCCTAGGCAAGTTCACACTCAGCTGGCCCATGTTACTGTCACCAGCATTTGGCAAAGTCTTTACACGTACCTTTTCTGAACTGTCTTTGTTAATGGGCTACTAATGCTGCCAGATGTTGTGAAGGGGGAAAGAGCAGTCACTGCTGGGCTGCTCCCAGTTTCCTGTACAGGTGGGCAAGGACTAGGTAGGTAGAGGTAAGGAGTGGGCTCTCCTCCTACAGTACACTAGTCAGTGGAGCTGAGGTAGGTAGTACAGAAAGAGAAGTAAGCTGTGCCTGGAAAAAAACAGTGAAATTTGTTTTCCATGTGGAGGAAATAAAAAACAGGGACTGAATAGTGATTCTGAACACAAAAAATACTACATGTGCCTTACCAATGGAAAGGACTACATCCCTGCTCTTGGCAATAAACGCATATATGAAACTCGTGGACTGCCAGTCACCAGTCTGGCATGTAGTTAAGTTCCAAAAATGCTCTTTTGCCTAGCATGATTAGAGTAAAATAAATGGCTAAGGAAACTTGAATAAGAATCTGAGGGGTCTGGCATCCCATGATGCCTATCTGTGTTATTCATTTTTGGTTTGTTTAATGACTATATATATAATATAATATATATAGTCATATGACAACATTATATATTATATAATATATAATGAATAACAAAGATATATATGACTATATATATATATAGTCATCAAACAAGCCAAAAATGAATAACACAGATAGGTATCAAGAGATGCCAGACACCTCAGATTCTTACTCAAGCTTCCTTAGCCATTTACTTTATTCTAATCATGCTAGGCAAAAGAGCATTTTTGGAACTTAACTACATGCCAGACTGGTGACTGGCAGTCCATGAGTTTCATATATGCGTTTATTGCCAAGTGCAGGAATGTAGTCATTTTTAAAATTCAGAATTACTATTCAGTCCCTGCTTCTTATTTCCTCCACATGGAAAGCAAATGTCAGGTTTTTCTACCAGGCACAGCTTACTTCCCATTCTGTACTACCTACCTCAGCTATGCTGACTGGTGCACTGTGGGAGGAGAGCCCACTCCTTACCTCTACCTACCTACTCCATGCCCACTTGTACAGGAGACTGGGAGCAGCCCAGCAGTGACTGCTCTTTCCCCCTTCACAACATCTGGCAGCATTAGTAGCCCATTGACAAAGACAGTTCAGAAAAGGTAAGTGTAAAACCATTGCCAAGTGCCAGTGACAGTAACATGGGCCAGCTGGGTGTGAACTTGCCTAGGAGTTCAGTAGACAAGCCCTGATAGATACATACATATATACATATATAGAGAGTGTGAGAGAGAGAGAGAGAGTGAAATATATTAGATAGATATTTCTGTCTATCTATCTATCTATCTATCTATGGTAATGGTATAAATCTGTAACTCTGGAGTATAACTGAAGTGACATAACAGGTCTGCATTATTACTTTTCCTTAGTGCACTAAAGAAAATGAGTCCTGCCAGACTTATTTAAAAAAAAAACAAACCTCTAGTTCAACCGGAACAAAACCAGTAGAATTCAGCTACAGCCTGCAAGTGGAGGATTGGATTAGGTGTTTCACATGTTGGATTGGGATTCTCTCTGACTCTTTGTGGATATTGCTTGGGCCAAAACCTAAAAGAATTTTTTTATTTACTTTAGACATGGGACAACCTGTCTTTATGTTAATCAATGCAGTGTGAACAGAATATTTGAAATAAACCATGAGAGTAAATGTGGGTAAGTTTTTGGCTTCTTATACAACACAGTGCAAAGGTAGTGGCACCCTAATTTTATTGTTATTTTTTCATGATCAAAGACACTGCATGTGTGAAATAGCCAATAACAATGATGCTCTACAAAAGATTTGCTTTATCAAACAAGAGCTTGTAGCAGGCTGCAAGCCTGCTTGGAAGGAGGTGTAACAGGCCACAAGCCTCAGAAGCTGCCACCTCACTGCAAGCAGGCAAGGTGATTGCTAGGCTGCTTAGGAAGACTGGCCAGAAAACAGGTAAGTGCCTGGCAAGAGGAAGTAAAAGACTCCCAGGGAAGGAAGGGGAGATAGTGCATCCTAGAGAGACAGAGAGTGCAACTGAGGGCACATGAATAAAATAGCACAAAAGAGTATGAGAGTGAGAGAGTGTGAGGGAACGAGTGTGCTACTAGGCTGCAACACTGGGCTAGGGACTTTATCCAGGGTCTGGGAAAAGACCCTAGCGGGTGAGCTAGCCTTTTATGGACTATGTTTATGGTGGCTGATTCAATTACTTGTCTTTACATGATTTCCTATGAGGCAAGAGTGAAAATAAAGGACTCACTGAGCTAAACCCTAACACACTACAGAGCTCTTGTGATTCAATGTAAAATAATGTATTATAAAAGTAAAGAAAGCTTCATCTCTGATCTACAGGAAATGTATTTAGAAGGACCTGCAACTATAATTCTCCTTTGTCCTCTCTAAGGAACCCCTCAGATGTGACTGGGAGTTTTGTGTAGGCAAAATCAAGCTATTTCTCTGAGGACTGAAGCTGAATTTGTCATGTACCCTCTCAATAATGTCACTGGGAGCTCTTCATTCAGAAAGAATTAAAGATTCATTGCTTTTGCATGCTTAAAAGTGACGGAGGGCTTCATAATAAATCCAGGTTTCATCTGGTAGGCAAAGCTCATGATCACTCCCTCCCTTTGATTAACAGCATTACAAGGGGGAGTTGTTTGTCCACCCTTCTTCTATATTTGTGAATTTTCATAGCACTCCCGGTGGGAACAAATATACTTGTGTGCTGCTCTGCTGTTTAGAAGCTTGTAAAGACACAAGATTTATAGCCCTTCATATTATGTGTACATGTGTGTATAAAACTTTGCTCAAACGTGGTCTCTCATGGTGTAATAATCACTCAGTGCTAATAAGAAGTATAATAACTCTCTATCGCCACCCTGTGTTTCACCAAAAATGACTATAAAATACTGCATTGACTAAAAAAGGGACATTTTCTATTTCTGGGACAAATTTCTAATTTAGTCCTGGGGTTCTGGGTAGAGCTGGACTGAGAATGGTATCTGCCCTCCACTGATTTTTGAGGTTTCAAATTTTTTCTGGTTGTATCTAGGAATAAATCCAAGTCAGTTCAGCATTTTTCTGTAGGATGGGATAAGGGGTGGGGGAAAGGGGGGAGAAAGACTGGTTAATGATAGGGCACTCACCAGGCCTATAAGAGGTTCCAGTTCAAATCTGCGGTCTAAAGCAGGGAGATCAAGGACTTGAATATGGTACTTTCATCCCAAGTGTCCTACTCTTCAGCCTGTTTGCTGTACTCACTCTCTCACTGTCTTTCTCTGTTGTAATTTAAAAAAAAATCTATCCTGATGATGAAAACCCATGAGGTGTTTCTAACTTCCATATTTTATATTTGAGATGACTAGATTGATCTCAGAACAAAAGGGCCTATCCCCATTTTAAAAATGAGACACGTAGGTACATGTAGGTGAAGTGACTTGGCCAAGATAACTCAGTAGGTGAACAGCAGAGCACTGATCAGCATTCGGGTCCCATAAAACCCAGTCCTCTGTTCTGTCCACTAGGCAGTACTACCTATTTCATAAACTGAAATCCATTTAGGGCTAAGTCATGGCTCTTTCACAGACTTGAGTAGATGGCAGTGCTCTGGTATAGTGTTTCAGGCTGAGTACCAGTGGGGGATTATGCTTCAGTGGTTCCCCTCGGGGGCATAGTTTCTCTGGTTATTCACATATTGTTCTGATCTGACTCTTATTCAGACGTCTGTGTGATCACCTTCAAAGCCTGACAGCTCTGCTGAAAAACTGGAAGGGAATCATAGCCCTGCTTATTCTTTGTCCCTCCCCACCCACTTGCACCTGTAGTCTGTACCCCAACACCACTGGAATTGAAGATCCCATTCACCTGAGTCAAAACCTGTCCTCCTTGCTACCACCAAAGTAAGGGCTAGTCACAATAATGCCCTTGATGTGGCATTGTGAAAATACCACATTATTGTAAAGTACATTTCTATTTCTAGTGAATTCCTGTTTGTAGGACAATTTCTGGGAGGACCGAGAGAAATAAATATATTTCACTGTGCATATTTGTGATGCCTCATACCTAGAAACGTTTGAGTACCTAATACAATTTAGAAGGACAATAAAAATGCATTTAGTAATAAAAATGTATTATGTTCCCTATAGCAGTAAATATCACCCTAATTTTCATCACCTGAAATAATCCACTGCTGTTGATTACTTCAACCAAGGAATAATAGGAAGCCTGCATGAAGTGCCACAATTATGAAAAGCTCATCTACTTCTGACAAAAAGGGTAATATAACTGATTTAAAAAAAAGACACAGATGTGTTTACTTGGATCCCATGAATAGCCAAACAAGATATTTCTATTAGTAGTGTGCATTCTTACATTCTTCTTAGTAGGGTGACCAAATGGGCCCATAGGAAATCTGGGACACATCCCCACTGTCTGCCCTCCCAAGTCAGTGGTGCTGCTTCAGGCAGAGGCAAAGTGGCATGGTGTGCATGCCAGGATTTGTCTACCCGGCTCTTAAAACCCTCCAAGGATGGAGATTCCACCACCCCTCTGACCTCTTGGGAAGCCAGTGGCACACAGTACAGGACAGGCATTAAACAACCTAAAACATGTGACTCAGGCTCCGGGCTCTCACATGGGGCCTTTAGCAGCAGCAGTCCCATCTCAGCAAAGCAGGAGCAGCCCCCCACTGCCCCTGCCCTACCATAACCTCATCAGTGAAGCACCTCTTCCAGCTCCAGATTAAGTCAAAGTTTTGGGGCCACATCCCACTCCCGTACTCCCCAGTGCAATCCCACCACCTGAGGGGACCCAAGTCATACTGCCTGGATTCTACACTTGTTCCAACCATGAAGACATAGGGTTGAAGGAAAAGCAGGCAGGCCTAGCAGGCTGGAGCTGGCTGGGGCCACAGTCCTAGGACACAGCCCAGAGCCGAGAGCTGCCCTCCTCAAACATGGGTCCCTGACAGCCAGGTGGGCAGGGAATGGGAAAGGAACTCCCATTTCCATCAGGGCAGTGGTCCGAGCTGCCCTCCCCACTCCTCGGGGAAGCCCCATTCTCACCTGGGCTCCAGGCAGAGGCAGCAGCTCCTTGGTCCTGACTCAACTGGGCTGAGAGCAGAGTCACTTGCGCAGTAGGCTCAGTCAGGAGCCAGGCACATGAGGGTGGGCTCCTGCCAAACTGGACTTTTGTTTCTATTTCTCCAATGGCCAGGATGCTGAGACAGCCTCTGAAATCTGGGACTGTCCCAGCCAATCCGGGAAGTATGGTCATCCTAGCTATCATATATTATGTTCCTTCTGCGCAAGAAGAGGGATGTGTACCATTTTGTAGAAAGTTAATTCTTACACTTAAATAACTGAAAACTGGTTCAGAACAACTATGGTGGGAAGCAAACAAAATAATAATGCTGCAGTATTAGAAATGGCTGGAGTTTTCACAAAACTTTATTGTGCCTTTCTGTTCTAAGAAATAGGAATATATATTGTGTGCATTGTGTGAGAAGGCTAATTCTTTTTCTGGTCATTCTCGAAACACTTCAGTATAGCAGAGTATATGCATAAATATAGCAAAGTACATGTAGAGTATACTCTACTTTTTTTATCCTACATTTGTTTCAAACGCATGCTTTTTTGTAATGTAACAGTGGTCCTTCAGAGAATGTTCTGTTCTATCTTCTTCTGGAAGACAAGACCAATGTAGGAGAACAGCTGGTTGAATAAAACAGTCCTAGAAACTGCAAGCAACAACTTTGGTTTGCATGATTGGTGGATTTACGCTATTTATGAGCTTTTAGACAATTGGGAGGTATTACTGAAAATGCCTAGGACTTCTAAATACGAAAAGCTTCATGAGATTTGATAGGAATATGTACTCAAAATGATTTCATAATCAAAATTTGTCATGAATATTTTATCCAGATATAATTGCAGGCAGATACCAACTTGTTTTAGGATACTGGGACAAGCAAAGGGTGCAAATAGCATAATTCCTTACTTGCCCACTCTTCTAGCTCTGGGTAAGTAAGGAGAAAGCTGAGTTTGGTGAAACTGAGTAATTCTACTTCCTATGATAGCCAGGAAGGAGGATTTGATGATCACATGGTTCCTTCTGGCTTTGACACATGCATTAATTTATATGATGGGAATGCCATAGTGAAATGGAAATGTGTGAAAAGCAGTTTGAGAAAAGAATAAAATATAATTGATTAATGGTGAGATACAAAGGCAGATTATCACATGGAAAAAAGGGGAAAGGAAAAAGCATGGGCAGAGTGCTTATAAAAATCACAAAAAGATATACTACATATGAGAGAATATTCTGAAGGTTAATAATAAGAGATTAGGGACAGAGGAAGCTGGATTTATGAAGGATGCAAATGGTGTATGCTGATAACCAATTCAGCTGAGATTAAAATACAGTGGAAGTATTTTTTTTAAATATTGCTGAATGTAAAGACCTGGTGAGTGTTGGCTAGAAAATGGTATTTAGAGGTTTGCTTTTGGGAATTGGCTTGTAGGGAA